GAGAGAGAGAGAGAGAGAGAGAGAGAGAGAGAGAGAGAGAGAGAGAGAGAGAGAGAGAATTAAAGAAAGAGAGAAATAGGAATAGAGGTTATATAACCATATACAGGGGGGGGGGGCAAAACTAATATATACGTAGTCCTGAAAATTATTTTTATCTGTTGAATATAAACAGGCCTTCTAGGTCAACAATATTTGTTTATTCCCTCACAATATCCCAGTGTTTTTTGGAAACAACCCCCCCCCAAAAAAAATCCGGGGACCATTTTTTTAAATCTTATCTTTTTTTTAAAACTTGTAATTTTATTTTATTCTATTTCTATGTATTTATTTCATTTATTATTATTATTATTATTATTATTATTATTATTATTATTATTATTATTATTATTATTATTATTATTATTATTATTATTATTATTATTTCTTTTTGGGGGGAGGGGGGGGGGGGGGGGGTTGGGCGAACAAATGTCACAGAGTCCCTTGCCAGGCGCGGATCTACGGGGGGGGGGGGGGTTTAGGGGGTTTAAACCCCCCCCCCTTGGGCGGCCCCAAAAAACAAACAAAAAAAAGGGGGAAAAAAAGAAAGAAAAAAAGAAAGAAAAAAGAACGCACGCTGGAGAGAAACCCTTTCAAGTGCAAATATTGTGAGAAGATATTCAACTCATCTGGTAACTTAACCAAACACATGATAACTCTGGATATAACTGTGTATTTAACTGTTACTTGATTTAAAAAGACGTTATCATGCACTGCTTTTTATGGTCTCCATTGTGTTAATAGATGCCAGGAAAACATCACTTACGGGGTTCAAATAAACCCCCCCAAAAAAATCGGCTCGCCGCTTCGCGGCTCGTGGACGATGCTCCGCATCGTCATTATTTTGGTCAACCCCCCCCCCCTTGGCAAAAAGCTAGATCCGCCCTTGTCCCTCTAGATAGAAAACTTCCCAAATCGGTGCCTGTTGGTCCCCCATGATCCTCTTTTTCTTATGTTAAATGAGAGCTGAGTTAATGAGATAGCCACCTGTCACAGTGACCTCGATTGCTCACTGGGTGGTCTAATCCCTTCTTGCTGAAGTAGTAACGCCTCCCTTTAATCCTTCCTATTTCCTATTTTTTATTTTATCCAATAAGATACCATACATAAAAAAAACTTGTATTTGCTCCAAAGACGAAGGTTGACAGTTCCTATTTAAATCGTATTGTTACCTGTTAGCAGCACCAAATGTAAGTATTTTATAACGTTATAATTGTCGAGTATGCTTACTGAATAAATTCTTGAATGTAGTACCTCTTGGCTTGCATTAGTAATTGACGTCTAACTTTCTTGTCTGTTCCCCTGGTCCGGTCCCATATGCTGTAAATTGTGTAGACCCCATTCCATGGAATCCAGCGCAAGCCACACCGGCACAGAAGCGGCGCGGCTGGCGCAGCTCCTTCCATATGGGTATGTCTCGTGTTTTGCTTGTGCTTGGCCCATTATCATGAAAGTAGTCTCCAGCTCCATCTCAAGTCTGGTCCTATTTTCTTTTTATACATAGTAAGATTGTAATTGTACTTTCATGTCTTTTAGTAGAAAAAGCGTTAAGAGGATATGCTGGTTCACAAAAGCAAAAACAGCCAAAAGCGTATCCATGAAATGATGAATCATGGCATGCCAAACCATGAGATTACATTTTATTTTTCCAATGACAAGTTTATAAAGTAATTCAAGATAGGTCTAAAAGGAGAAAGAGAGTCAAAAAATAATAATGGTGCATTTAAAACATAATATCAGTCATTTGAAATTGATTTTTCTGCTATTGTGTATATTTTGCATTGCTCATCATCATCAGATACATACTGACAATTTTGTTCTCTAAATTGTCAGGTGCACATCTTGAATAAAGCATGTCTGGTGAAGTAGGAGAAGAACAAGGTGATGGGACACCAAAGGAACATCCCTGGTATTCAGAACCCAAGTATGAGCGTTACTGGAATCACTACGAGCAAATGAAAACATGGATGCAGGATCAGCAATCTCTGCAAGACTCTGTGAGTAATGCGTGGATGGTATCCTATCAGCAGTACTTACACCAGTATCAGTGGTGGGTATACCAGAACTCCTTGATGAGTGGATCTTATCCCCAACAACAGGTTTATCATCCGCATCACTCGTACCCTCCGTCACCGTGGCACTCCAATTATCCATCAAGAGCCCACCATCATCCTCATCATCATCATCATCATCATCAAGACAGCTTCCACCATCATCATCATCATCCATACAAGCCCCATCCAGCAGCATCTAGTTACCGTGGCAGCAAACAGTACGTTACCGATCAGAGTGATGTTGATTACAACGGTTTCAGCGAGACACAGCAGGAGGATGACGATGAAGGCCAAGTCTACGGAGAAGGAGGCGAGGAGGAAGAGTTTGAAGTGGAGCTGAGCGAGGAGATGCGGCAGTTCTTCCTTCAGTCGCAGAAGCATCGAGAGGAGCTGAAGGAGCTTAGACTCGCTATCAACCAAAAGGAACATGCGGAAAGGACTAAAGATGGCGATATGGCACATGAAAACGCAGAAGAAGATGAGTCCTATGATGATGAGTTTGAGATGAGCTTTACCAGCTCCAAGAAGGGCAAGAAGAAACATATAATTGGTGCCCCAGTAGAACAGCCTGGTAGGAGAAGAGCAGAGGAGATGAAGGTATGTTTCTCTTCCTATTTGTCTTCCTATTTAATCTTGTTTTTGTTTTTTAGTCACCTTATTTTGCAGTGTTGTAAATATTTTTTCATGCATTTCAGTGCAAATCTCTGTTGACCAAAAGTTGAATTGGATAACCTTACTAAAGATTGCCTTGCTGTCTACCTAAACAAAATATGTTTTTTGGAGATCTAATATTTTGAATAACTATTTGTTCAGATTAAAAATTACATTCTGGAAGGAAGGACAACTGCTCTTTAGTTTCTCTCAATGATGATCACCGTGGCAGCAAAGATTATCCAGAAATATGTGGATATTTGTTGCCATGGTAAATCAGAAGTTGTGAATGATCATGACTTTGTTTTTCTCTCCTCTCTAGATTCTTCAGTGGAAGGTTTTTGTTGTTTGTATGTCAGACATGTTTCATGTTCAAGACCTTTTGTTCTTTTTTTCTCTCTTCTCTCTAGATTCTGTATGGCAAGGATTCACCAGCCATTCACGGGATGGAGACAGCTATCCAGATGCAGTTTGACAGGAACTGTGACAAAAAGCAGCCCAGTTTCTGGCCTACTGTACCCCTCAAAATGTAGCCAAAATGGAAAACACTGCCGAGAAATAGAGTTACGAAATGCTAACATCATATTCGCTCGTCGTCCAGGTTCCTGGTTCTGAGGTTAATCGCGGAATTATTCAAGCAACGGGCTGGAGCAGGGCACATGCAGTGTTTGGCGCTGCCATGATCACCACGCAATTGTTTGGCACAAAATTGTTTGGGACCAGCATTCTTGACAACTTGGCCAGTATGACGTCACCCTTTGGTACTCGGCCCCTTTCCTAAATGATTTTTCATTGGTTCAGATAAGACATGATTGAAATGCCTAAAAGAAACGTTACAACAAATTGAAAATGTTTTATGGCATGAAGATGGGCTATGATCCATCCGGTTTGATAGGAACTGTGACAAAAAACAAGCCACCTTCTGGCCTACTGTACCCAAGATGTAGCCTATGTGACATGAACTATCTGAAAATAGGTGTTTCCTAGTGATCTTCATGAAGCCTTGTGAGGTCATAACATGGTAAACTGCCTCAAATTACAATTCTACAGCAAATGGAAATATTTGAAGGCATGAAGAAAGAGCATCCCACCTTTGGGCGTACCGTACCCCTGAAGATGTGGTTGTAATGGAATCGTTGGTAGAAAACAAGCTTTTCTTGACAATTTATTATTAAGCCTCGACTTTGTTCAGACATTCCCTTGTAACCTGCCAAAGATATAAAAACACCATTGTAAGAGAAAAAAATTATGTGTACATTAATAGCAAGTGGAGGTGAAAAGTTTACAAATAGCTGCATGCAATAAAGTCCTTTAAGTCTAGGTTTTTTAACCAGGGTGCCACAAGAGATGATATTTCTTATTTTTAAACATTATTTTGGAAGAACATCAATTTTGTGAAAACACAATAGGAGAAATTGCCGGAGTATATAATTTCATGAGAAAATTGAATTTCAAAAATTACGAAGTGCCTTTCTTTCTTGCTCGCTTTGCATAATGTGATTGGTTTGGCCATGTGCACTTTTAAAATGGTGCCTGTCGGGAATACTCCCTAGGGCGTGGAGTGTGTGCACTCTCATATTCAGATTAGCAATTTAATTCAATGACCGGGGTAGAAAATGATTACAATCTAAAGTGCTTAGAAACATAGTATTAAAAGGCAACCCAATCCTTGTATTTTTTTTTTCTCTTTGCCTCTTAGAGGTGTTTATTCAATATTCAAACAGTAACATAATTTTGCTTACAATTTAGCAAATCAATGGAACATCAATAATACACAAGTTATTTACTCAAATATAACTAAGCAAGTTCGCAGGAAATTTCATATTTTGTACTTTCAAATGTTCGTTTATTTCTATTCTGTCAGTCATTTCTCTCTTAAATAAGTAAATCAAACTCAAATCTCTATTATCATATCCATACTTATTACGAAAAATAATCATTTTATAAATCGACCAAAAAGCAATAGTCATTATCAAATCGATTTCGGTTTGCGAATTCATTTTGAGTAATAAAACAATATCTATCTCTATTCTAAGATTGAAAGCACGTAAAACTAAGTCCTTTAAATACTTAAAGAAACTTTCATTTGCCTTACATGAAATGAAAGCATGAAGCACATCTTCAGTTTTTTTGCATTTTAAACAAAGGTTATCGTATGCGAGACCCCACTTGAACAGATTGTTACGGACTGGTAACATATTATATAAAAGCTTGAAATTAAATTCTCGTAGACGAAAATCTTTTATCCCAATCAAATTCCTATTAAAAACAGAAGACCATTTAACGTCCTTCTGCAAGACATCTTCCCAATACAAACAACATTTATTTATTTTAATTTGTTCAAAACTGATCATATTATACCACTGTTTACTACTCAAAAGACTAACAGGCTTAACTGATTTTCCAAATACAAAGTGGGGGATAGAGAGATTATGGTCTTTGAAAACCAAAGGTACCCTATGTTTATCATTTATCCAAATTTTTGGAATTGATTTTTGTAGCTTTGTATAGTCAAAAATCAAAAATTGTTTACTTCTTCTAGTATTAAGGCGGATAAATAATTCATTTACTGAAACAAAAGTACCATCTTTAAAGATATCATTTAAGTATATAATACCACTTTTATACCAGTCTTCATAAAATAACATTTTCTTTTCAAAAACAATATCTTGATTATACCATAAAATATTTTCGTCGACATGCTTCTGTGTCTGACATTCAGCTGATGTGTATTTGTTTATGAGGTACCATGCATGTAATATTTCTATGTAAAAATGTGGGACGTTTCTAAGTTTTAAGAGATTTAAAGTATAATCAGTATAATTGCAATTGAGGAGTAGATGCAGCCCTCCCAAACAGTCAAACCAATGTTTACACATATCTTTCCAATTTCCTGTTGTATTATCTAAAAACATCCCAAGCCACTTCAACCTAAAACTAAACATTTGCCTTTTAACATCAATCATTCGTATTCCTCCTTCACAATAATCCTCAGTAACAATACATCGTTTTACCTTTTCAATTTTACTTTTCCAAAGAAATTTAAATATCAGGCTATTAAGTTTTATCAAAAAAGTAGACGGTATTGTATCAACAATCATTAAATGTATAACTTGACTAATTGCAAGTGATTTAATAATAGTCAGTCTTCCAAACAAAGTCAGGTTTCTTTTTCTCCAGTTATCTAGCAGTTTTTGCATTTTTTCTAATTTATTTTCCCAATCAATCTTTAAAGCACACTGCAGATCAGGTGCGATATGATGTCCTAAGTATTTTACTGGCCCATCTGTCCAATGTAAACCAAAACAAGTTAGCGACCATCGTTGACAGGCTGTTCCAATCCAAATCAAGACAGTCTTTTCTCTATTTAACTTCGGTCCTGCAACTTTGCCAAAAACCTCTAATTCGATTAAAATATTTTCAAAAGAATTTATATCAGATACATAAAATAAGGTGTCATCTGCATATTGCAGCAATTTCAGATCAATACCTTTATCATCAATATCTAGACCTTTGATTTCCTTATTTTCTCTCACTTTATTTGCCATTAATTCTGCGGCCATTACAAACAATAAGGCCGAGAGGGGACACCCTTGGCGTATTCCTCTCAGAACACTAAAAGTTTCAGATAACCAACCATTTACAATTACAGAACTTGAAATATTTGTGTATAAAATTGTTACCCACTTCTGGAAAACAGGTCCAAAATTAAATTTACTCAGACATTTTTTGATAAAAGTTACATCAATTACATCAAAGGCTTTAGAAAAATCTACCATCATAAGAGCACCGTTTTTACCGTTACTTGTCATGTATTCGATGATATCTTTAGTAAGTCTTACATTACAAGCCGCCAGACGACCTCTTATGTAACCCGACTGGTTTTCATGAATAATTTTACCAATTACTTTTTGAAAACGTTTTGCAAGCACTGTTGCAATTATTTTATAATCACTATTCAGCAATGTGATCGGTCTCCAATTCTTCAGCTCCCGATGATCCCCTTTCTTGTATATCAAAGTAATTATTCCTTTCCTTTGAGTATCCGACATTTTCTCATTAGCATAACACTCGTTAAGAGCGGCAACTAAAATATCACAGATCTCATTCCAGAACACCTGATAGAATTCCGCGGTTATTCCGTCAGAGCCTGGAGTTTTGTTTTTCTTCATTGCGAATACAGCTTGTTTACATTCTCTGTGTGTTAATAAACCTTCACATATTTTATTTTCATCGTCAGAGAGAGATGAAATATTTTGAGAAAAAATATAATCTTCTGCATTTTTAACATCAATATCTTCTTTAGTATACAACTTACTATAAAAATCAACGGTTTCTTTCAATATTTCGTCTTGTTTTTCAATAATTCTTTTCCCATTTCCTGTCTTCAACTGATTTATGTTTTTTCTGCTAGCATTTCTCTTTTCTAAGCTAAGAAAATATTTAGTACTTCTTTCTCCCTCTTCCATCCATCTTGCCTTAGCTCTGATACCAGCTCCTTTAGATTCTACTTTATATATATTTTCCAGCTCTTCTTTTATGACCCTATATTCGTTTTCATTATCATTATTTCCACTTTGGTTATCAATACATTTTTGTAATACATTAAGCTTCATTTCTAAAAACCCTTTTCTATTTTTTTGATCTGCAACTTTATGTTTACAATATTTTTGTGTAAATTCACGTATCTTTATTTTCAAAAGTTCCCATTTCTGTAGGGGACTCATATTTTGAGAATTCATTGAACTAATAACATCACAAATATTTTTATGATAACAGTCATCAGACAGAGCACGACTGTTCAGCTTCCAGTAACCTGGACCCTTTTGAACAGTTTTTGTTTTGATTTTTAAAGAAATTGCGTTGTGATCAGCTCTTATTGATGGTCTGATATCTGTGTTTACAACTCTCCCTAAAAAACTTTTATCGACCAGCCAATAATCTAATCTTGAAGCAAGTTTTAGATATTTATTTCTCCAGGTAAACTGAATAGTATTAACATTTATTTTCCTCCAGATATCACACAATTCGTATTTCTTTAACAATCTACTAAAATTTATCGGTTTCTTGTAATAGGAACGGTTTGTTCCCTGAACATGTATAGTGTCTTTCTTGACATTCAGTACACAATTCCAGTCTCCTGCCATTACTAATTTAGATTTTTCGTACTTTTCACAAGAATTTGATACGAAAGTATTCAGATTTCTAAAAAACCGTTCTCTTTGCTTTTTCTTAGTTGGTGCATATACGTTTACCATTGTCAATAAAAGGGTTCCCATTTTAACTCTTAGTAACAACTTTCTTCCATCATCAATCTGCTCTATACTAGTGACATCTATGTCTAGGTGTTCATCAAATAGTATAGCAACTCCTTTGGAGTGATTTGTGCCGTGCGAAAAATAACACGGCCCACGCCACTCACTTTTCACAATTTTTTCAATGTCGGCTGTCCAATAAGTTTCTTGTACAAAGAATATGTGTCCCTTTTGATGTCTAAACCATCTGAAAATTTGACTTCGTTTTTCCTTATTTCTAAGACCACGAACGTTTAAACTTAAGAAATGACAATTCGACATTTACATGAAAAAGGAAGATTGTATAACAAAAATCAAATTGAAATAAGTTTGTTTGACATATCTATCATTTTTTTTTCGGTGGTTTTTTCGTCGACTTTTGCTTCCTCTTTTTACTCTTATCTGTATCATCTTTCACTCGGCGTGTTGGCAACTCGGGTGATTCCAAAGATATTTCGGAGGCTTCTTCTTCGCTGCCGTCATCGACATCGCATGAAGAGACATTGCTTGAAGCATCTGTACGTGAGGGCGAAACGTAGGAATCAGGATTGCTAGAGAGAGGAGCAAACTTGTTAGCGGAAGAGGATGACACATTATCCGGTTTGTTTACTTCGACTCTCTCAACGGCTCCATGGGGTGACTCTCTACTATCTCCGTGCAGAAATTGCGTAATCTTTGACTGAGCGCGCGTCTGGTAGTCATGGTGCGATGGGTAGTTGTGAGACGATTCTATTGTCGCTTGTTGTCTTCCAGATGCGACGAGTTTCTCGATGCTGGCTAGAACGTGTGGGGCAGTTGCGGCTTCGGCTGCTGGTATAGCTGGGGTGTCAGGTTTACTAGTAGGATCTTGCATATGTAACGGAGCTGTTGGGGTATCATCTCTGGTGCAGTCTTGCTGGATGTGTCCTGGTTGATTGCAACGGCGACACACTACAGGGCCACTGCACTGGGAGCGATGATGACCTTCGCTCAGACATCTCGAGCATACAGCTTTAGGTCTCGTAGTTGACGGGAGTTGGCCATAGTGGAAGATCTTGCCTTTAAAAAGGCCAAAGTTCATGATTCGGGGGAGGGGGGTTGATGGTTGCTGAATATACACAACTCTGTCGCCTGTTAGACAATCTGTCAAACGCCCATCCACGCGGAGGCGTTGGTAGCTAACAGTCCCCAAAACTTTGTACTTTAGTCTCTCGAGTTCATCAATGATCAGGGAGTCATGGGCAGATAGTGGTATGTCCCTAATCAGAAGGCGAAGACTATTTTCATTTTCATCTCTAAGAAATGGGTTTTTGTCATACACAGCAATGTTTACATTCCGTACATTCAGTCCATTCGTAATGATCTTGATTCTCTTGTCCTGATTTTCTACATACAGTCTCCACAGACCTCCGATTTTCTGAATTCCTTTGATATCACAGCTAGGCACACTTTTACAGAGACATTTGAAAATCTCTTCATTTGTAATCACTTTATCATCAATCGTTGGGATGTCTTTATGTTTAACAATCCTTGTATAAGTTCATTTGAATTAGAAAAACAGAATGGCGAAAGTTTCAAATAAATCGTACCAATAAAAAAGAAATTTATGATTGTTTGAAATTTGAGATCACTACAGCAATGCAAATCTCATATTAGTGATTTTTTTCAATGGATTGTGACGTAATGCAGATAACTCGTTTGGTTATTGTGTACAAAATATCACTAATTTCTTATTTTCTTTCGAGCCGCTTCATCCTTGGAGTACTACTCATAATATATTATGGAGATTATATTATTACAGGTCATCCACAAAGAAAAGACCATACCGATTCAAACAATTTCAAGATGCTTACATTTTCGTCATTTTTAGTGTTGGAACGAATGGGAAAGTGTCTGCCACTACATCACAAAGACATTGCCGATTCAGCCAATTTGAAGAACCCAACTTTCAACTTGTAACTTTAACAAATTCATAGCTTTCCCATACTTTGTCCGATTTCATTCAAACTTTCACCATTAAGCTTCTCTGATTTCTCTGCTTTCGTCTTAAGTAATTTGCTATCATGGTTTAAAATAGATTCTCCTTTAAGCCCTATACAATAATGACAGATTATACAATGGATAATATAAGGATGATGTTATTGAGTATAGACAGATAGCATCAAGGCAAGGAATGGGAAAAGTTCTGCTGCTGGACAGCATAGTGTTGTTGACATTTATGGTGATGATGATGGTGAAGGAGAAGGAGGAAGAAGGGGTAGGGGAAGAAGAAGAAGAAGAAGAAGAAGAAGAAGAAGAAGAAGAAGAAGAAGAAGAAGAAGAAGAAGAAGAAGAAGAAGAAGAAGAAGAAGAAGAAGAAGAAGAAGAAGAAGAAGAAGAAGAAGAAGAAGAAGAAGAAGAAGAAGAAGAAGAAGAAGAAGAAGAAGAAGAAGAAGAAGAAGAAGAAGGAGGAGGAGGAGGAGAGAAGAAGAAGAAGAAGAAGGAAGAGGTGAGGGGAAGAAGGAGGAGGAAGAAAGAAAGAAAAAGAATAACAGGAGGAGAGGAATGAACAAGAGACTTCTACTTCACTCTTTTTTTAAATATTCTCAAGGAAATATGTGAACATGACTTTTATTGTGGCTTTGCCCAAATGTGAACAAAAAATAAAGACATAACTATTTAAGCCTTATTAAAATCCTTGTGATTCTTTGTTTCTTGATTTATGATTACATGGTCAGAAGTTTGAGAGAGGACAAAGATAGGCAGCACAATGAACACAAACATTAAAAACATGACAAGAAAGAGGGTTTGAGATGAGAGGTAGAGAGACAGAGACAGAGAGAGAAGGGGCATGGGGAAAACAGATAGAGGACGAATGAGAGAAAGGAGGAGATGGTAGGAGAAGGAGGACCTTGGAGGGAAAGAGAGACAGAGGAAATGACTGAGAAAGAGAGAAAAAGAATGTCAGAGGGGAAAAGTAAGAAATAAGAAGAACTAGAGAGGGGAAAGGAGAAAGAGGGGCTGAGGAAAGAATGAGAGAGTGGTCGAGAATGATATACATGCATATATAGAGAGGGGGAGGAGACGAATGAGAGACAAGGTTTGAATTTTAGTTGCCTTTGATGATGCTGTTAAAACAATGAGGATATGGAAAAGGAGATAGAGAGATTAAGCGAGTGGAGAAAGGGGAAGAAAAAGATAGTAGAAAAAAACAGACTAACGGACTTCGTGATGAGGAATGCTCAGAAAAGAACAGCCAAAACGATCCCCACCCACCAAAACATGAACTTCCGAAAATAGCAGGTGTCGGGGGGAAACAAAATCTCGCAGGGATCCCGCAATACCTTTCTTGAATTTTCCCCAAAGGAATCCAGTCTGCCCTTTCATGGGGGTGATCGGGTGTGGGGGTTCAGCCCTCCTCGTCCGCCTCTGTCAGGGTCAGGGGCCTGTATGTCTGGTGATTATGAAACTTGTTAAACCTGGTCATTTGATTAAACTTAGCGCATTGATTTTGTGACGAGGGGATTCTTGCAAACTGACTCACGGCGCCGCCGATTATCGGAAACAAAAAGAGTATATTTGAGAAGAAATGAGTATCCCACTGGTATCTGTTAGTCCAGCGAAGCACAAAGACTTTTAGGCTACTAAAGTATATTACTTTGAACTTGGTCCGGGGTCTATTGTTTGAGTTAATCCATCGAGGCAACTACTGCATAAGTGCTGGGATAAGCCTCTTACTCCCTTTTGATTATCAATTACCGAATTAAGTGGGTTTTCATTTGAAGACAACTTCAAAAGTTGACCGACTTTGCTTTTCGGACTGTATAAGGATATTGTGACGGACACGGTTCGCCCCCTTGGCTTGACACGGAGTATTTGTCAGGATGCCCCGTATCTGGCCAGGCGCTCTCCGTCCGTTTGGACAAAATATATGCCCGTAGCTTAATGGCTGGAGTTATTAACTGCTCACACGTATCTCAACAATCATTCGTCCATCGACTACAATCGGTCACCTAAACGTCTCGTTCACAGAACAATCAATTTCCCTTGTCAACACTTGTCACAGGTTCTCGTCCCTTGGTTTCACTGCTCCAAGAAATCAAACCAATCATGATGTGTAGGTTGAAAGTCTTTATTGCGATCCATTCAACAATCGGGTAAACTCAGTACAAGTACAGTGCAAACTATGTGAGACTTAGCTTAGAGGCTTAGGCCAGACCAACTATCAGGCCAACTATCAGGCCAACTATCAGGCCAACTATCAGGCCAACTATCAGGCCAGCCTCGGTGAGGCTGGCCTGTATCGGATACAGTGCAGTGGAAAGCTCTAGATGCACAACCCTGACCATCGTAACAATTTCCCTATACATAGACGTGTAAAAGAACAATTATGTCCTCGTTAGTAAAACAACACTTCAACACAATATTTCTGCTAATCCCATAAAATCTTCACATATAATCTTCAGTATAACCCCTTATTCCTGATTAGATCATTACTTTACAAGTAATATCCCCAAAAGAAACATGATAATTGCACCAACATGATCAAAATATGTAATTTATGCTCATTTTCCTTCAGTTTGGTAATTGCTAAATCAACGATGCACCATATTGCTATAGCGCATGCTCGTACAACAGAAAATGCTTAACCTTCGTCCAATACTAAAACCTTGATTTGTTACAATATCCAATGGGCTACTGTTCTATAGTTACCCAGTGTAAATAATACTGCTCTTTTTCGTTATTAACATGTAGATAGAAATTCCCCCACGACGTACAAACATCATTGACTGAAATTTAAATCCATGAATTATTCCAGTGACTGTTTGGATTCAGACAGATAAGGAAGATATGATTTTATTTTGTCTTCGCACCGATATTTTGATAAAGATCCCTTTCTTGGATTCCTTGATAATTGACTGTGGTATTTAAGGGCCCAGAATTTCGATGCAGTGGCCATTTTTGGGGGTAGGAAGTCTTGGATTCTCTCTCAATTTTTTATTTTTAAAATTTATTTAATATAATTATATAAGTTCACTGGACGGAAAAAAACAACAAAGAATGACCGATTCTGTCAAGCGAGCAGTCAATTAAATGAATATATGGCATTTCGACAAAAGATGGCGCTAGACTACTGATTTTTGTCTTGTTCTGCATCTATTCTGTGTTTGATTTTCAATGATGCGGCTATACGCTGCGCTGTAGTCCAACCGTACCGATATCAGTATCAGCTACCCCGCATCGCATCGCATTCATCCCGGATTACGCTGGCCCCGTGTACTGCACTGGAATGGTGGAATTGTTCGCACGATATTGACAGTAAAACTGCACCTAATATTAGCTATTCGCGTAAGAAACTAATTTGGATGATTGTAAATTTCGATCTCAGAGATGATTTAGAAAGGTGTGTAACATTCTGTTCTTCTATTTCTTTGCTGAATTCGATTTGGAGAGCAATGAAGGTTGAGGAATATGGACCGATAATGTGGCGTGCTGTTGTCAAGCTGTAGCGAGTGTCGGCGTCACGGCTGTTCTGCCAACGCGACGGTTACGGCTCGAGCCCGCCTGTCCATATCCCTCCATTCACCCATCGCCACTCCGACCCTGGGCTGGCCTGAGCTCCGGCGTGGATCGCGATTGGGGAGTGTGTTCAAGTAGATCTATTTGTTATTATTAGTGTCGGACATAAAATGGAGGTAAAGAGGTCTAGTGAACTTAAATTTGACTTTATGAAAGCAGAAGATAATTGAACAAAATGCCTTCATCAAAAGCTAGATCTGGAGGAGTAGGAGGAAGGAGTTGCCATCACGACAAGTGCGAGATGGGCGATGGAGAAGTGTCCTTCTCTAAAGGAATATTGATGTCCTCTGTATCAGGGATCATAAGGACTAAACGTACTCATGGATGTCTAGTACACAGGAAAATGGCATTGTCATGGAGAGTTTGCATAGCTTTACTTGTGTTATGGGCACTAATTTGTGCCAGAACATGCTCGGCTCAGCAGGATTTGTTGTACTACAGTGTGAAAGAAAACCAACCTGTTGGGACATTTGTGGGAAGTCTTCAGGATGACACTTCATTTGGCTCACCATTCACCACCTTAAATCCATCCGCAGAATTCATGATAGAATCGGATACAGGAATCATTACAACTGGTGCAGTTTTAGACAGAGAAACAGCACCAGACCAGGAATTTGTAATCATCGTGTTTGCTGGTGAAATGTTTACTGCCCTTGTGGTAACGATCAGGCTAAATGATACAAACGACAACAATCCAATATTTTCTCAAGATAACAGGACGTTTGAAGTTACAGAAGCAGTTCAACCTTACATGACAAAAATTAACGGAGTCACCGCAACTGATGCGGACGAAGGAATAAATGGCATTCAGGGGTATCGCATTGTTGGTGGAAATATTGACAACACTTTTGATCTTGATGTTAGGGTAAGGGAAACGGGAGTCTACATGGATATTGTCGTCAATAAAACTCTTGATCGAGAAACAATCTCCATGTACACCTTGATCATTGAGGCTTATGATGGAGGAGACCCACGGCTCACTGCAAATACCACAGTCAATATCAAAGTAACCGATGTGAATGACAACTCACCAGTATTCACCTTAACTTCCTTTACTGCTACCATCAATGAGAGCGCTCCTGTAAACACGACTGTGCTTCAGGTAACAGCATCTGACGAGGATGAAGGTTTGAATGGGGAGGTTGTCTTCAATCTACAAAGAGACGACGGCTTCTTCAGAATTGACCCTGCCTCTGGAATAGTATATCTTAACAAGGTCCTGAACTATGAAGATGCCCAGGCCCATGATTTTCTAGTCATAGCTCAAGATAAAGCGGAACCTCCCATGTCCAGCCAGCCTGCTTATGTTTCCATCATGGTTATCAACATCAATGAAAAACCCCCTTCTCTTGAGGTTCTGTTCCTTCCTGATGGAGGAGCATCCCAAGTCTCGGAAGCAGCGGTTGCTGATACCACCCTTGCCCGCATCTCCGTCACCGACCCTGATGACGGTGTCCTCACTAATGTCTCCATGACTATCACAGGTGGTGCTGGTCAGTTTGACCTCCAAAAGAATAGCAATCAAGTCTACTTTCTGATTGTGGCTACTACAGCAAGTTCTTTTGACCGTGAGGAAGTCGCAAGTTACGACATTTCAATTCGAGCAACCGATCACGGTTCCCCGCCACAGCATGCTGAGGAGAACCTGACCATTGCAGTGACCGACGTTAATGATAACCCACCTATCTTTGACCTTCCCTTGTACCATGCGACCATCATCGAGGCGTCCGAACCTGGTACCCCGGTCAAGCAGGTCCATGCAACGGATGCTGACGAAGGAGTCAACGCCCAGATCATCTACAGGATATCTCCTGAAGGCACTGACTACTCTGACTGGTTTGAAATCAATCCCATGTCAGGGCTTGTGACTACCCTCCAGAAAGTGGATAGAGAGGAAACAGGATCTGTGTTCTTAACAGTGATTGCTAGTGATGAAGGGGAGATATCCTTGTCTTCATCTGTGATCATCAACATCACCATCACCGATGTCAATGACAACCAACCAGTCTTCTTTCCAGGGTCTTATAATGCCTCCATATTGGAAGAACAGGAGATACCTTACTGCTTCTTGCAGGTAAGAAAACATTTCTTTTACCTTGGGTGTTTTATTTCTTTGTTCAATTTTTAATTTGATTTTATCTTTCTGTACCAGCAGTAGAAATAAAAGTGTTATTGAATGAGAGAGGTATTTGTAATCCATAACAAACTTTTGCTTCATTATTTAAACAAGGAGTGCTTTAACATGAAGACCTTAAGGAATTTAATTTCTTAACCCCTGAAGAAGAAAAAAATTCAGTTCAATTTATTTCCGTAACATCAACACCAAACACTCAAGTTCATAAGTTGAAAGAATATTCAGGATTTGAGGGGCAGGTGAATAAAGAATCAATTTTAGAGAATTTGTAGCAGGGAGATGAGGGAAATGAGAATTAGTAGCAGGTCTCGCTGCAACCATATGTTTACATTGCCATATGAACCCTTTTATCCTGTTGTATTTCAACCATCAAAATGAAAAAAAAATCCTTTCATTCTATTAGAATGCATAGTTTGTAAATATTGCATCTTTTTACTAAAATTTCCCATTTCTTCAAAGAAAGCGAAATCCCAGTTATGCATGATGGAATGTGTCAATTTCTTTGATGGTATATGTTTTCTGACATGTAATTTGAGATTCAAATATTTTACAAATATTCTATCAATATTTATTTTGATGTGAAAGTCAACTGTTTACTGAAAGAACATCTCTATAGAGAAAAGTCTCTTCCGAGCGGAATTTTTGTTGTTCATGTACTGTACATGTTGTAAGTCAACATGACATTTCTGGTCACTGAATTTGCTTCGGAGTAGAAAAAGAAAAAAAAAGTGTCGCATTCATTCTACATTTTCAAAATATAATTAAATTTTCCAAACTATATTTGCAATGTACACCGAAAACCACCCACTCTGCATGTAGATTCAATGCTCATACATAAAACATTTTAATTTAACTACGGTAAGATGATTCAACTCCTTCTTGTACACATATTCCTGTACATAATGAATGAATGCAGGCACTTCTTTAGAAACAAGTCTTGTACAGTCTTCTCTCCGAGCCACAACCCCCTTGAATAGCCATTGTTATGCACAATGAGGATGGGGTGCAATGAAAGAGCAAAGCCTATCACTGTGTGTGCACATACCATCTCTGCGCCTCACACCAGGACCCTGTCTCTAGCTGCCACCTTGCCCCAATGGTTGGCTGTTCCTTTGATCTCACGCTGTCGCCAAACAGTATGGAGGTGTCACAATAGGTGCAGTGCTCTGCAGCTTATTCATTAAACCACAGTTCTATCACCCCCAAACATTGCAATCCCTTTGATGGATTAAGGGCTTAAGGAGCTGATTTTCAAAGCAAGGAGAATCTTTCAAATGGATGGAGTTTTCAGTGGATCTATAATATAAAGAAAGATAGAGAAGAAAATCCTATCTCCTTTAAATCACTGAACTGCATCGCTTTCAAGTTTCAACTAAAGCTGTAAGAATGGGCCTGATTTGTAAATGAGGTAGATTTTTATACACTCCTTTGTAGGGAACATCACTTACACTGTACATGTACATCATCGTATCATGTACAATATACATGTACAGTATCAGTACCATTCTCCAAAATTTAAGTTCATTGGGCCAAGGATCTTTATTTAGAAAATAACCTTCCTTTGATTGCATCATGACAGTACTGTTAGAAAATATCCAGATAACATTTTTTGTTTTTCATTTAACGTGATGGAATATGTTCAAAATTAGATCACTTCAAAAATGTACTCTCATGTACTGTACATGTGTATAGTACTTGAAGCCCATGCTCATAATAAAATAAATAAAAACAAATTTTGTCTGAGATCAAGTCTAGTGTGTATTTCACACTGTATTATTTCTCTGATATTGTTCTTTGATGAAGGATAATATCCAATTTGATGAAAATATTTTAAAGTTAAATCAATTTACTGCTAATGTTATTATTATCTGTAAAGCATCTAATAGAGACACCATCAGTGTATTAATCACCATAATCTATATCAAAATAGAATGTAATTATTATTATCACAGCCAACTTTTGCTTGTATACCCTGTACATCTTATGTAGAAGTACATGTACATGTACATCAAGTCACACAGCTAATACATGTAGGCCTCCAAGTCCAACATTGTTCCTGGATGGATGTGAAGGATAACATCCAATTTCCAAGATGGAATCCTCTCTTCACAGCTGCTTAGAGTTAGCAGCAGCAGGGTCAATTGATGGCATTGATGTACTGAAATTGGATAGCACAATTAGACCTTAGAGGAGTTTGGTCCACAGAGCCTTGCATTTTTTAAAGTCATTTAATACAGTGTAAATATCAGGCCGGACTTGAGGGTTATTGTAGGCTTGTATGAAGTTGATAATGAAGGATTGTATTTGATTTTGTAACAAAGTCTAAAAATGGATGGATAGAATATTCCATTTGGAAGAAGAAAAAAATCAGAATGGTTTCGAGCAAGTTATCCTTATGAAAAATTAAGAGATAAAAGTAGAGAGAGAGAGAGAGAGAGATAGAGAGAGAGAGAAAAACAAAAACAGAAACCAAAAAACAAAGTCATCAATAAATCATAATTAAATTCATACCTCCTACTTTATTTTTCCCCAGATAAAATGAATATTTTACTATAGTACTGTACATTACAAATTTGATGATCACATTAAACTCCAGTCACACAAAGATGTTCTTGGCCATAGGACACATGCTCTAGTGACAATTGGTTCACACTCTCGCAGAATATTATTCTGACAATCTGAGCAATAACTAGACCAAGCGAACGATTTACCTGCCCCAAATACATTACAATTACAACTAAAGAGATGGTATGGCTGGGTCGGGGCTTGCGATTGATGACCAGGGCATTGACTCTGAGTAGGTGAAACTCCTTGATGAGATGCCTAACAAGACGGAATGTGAAGAAGTCAAGATATGTGGCAATGTAGGAAGGCTACATGCTGATATCGGCTTGTTACTGAGTGACAAATATGAAAATGAATAAGGTCCTACTACTACTACACATGTGTACGATCTATACATGTAATGTAGATGAAGGCCTACTCTGTAATCGTATTGATGCTTCTAACATAATACTATACTATAGTTAGTATTTAAAATTTGATTTTTTTTTTTTTTTTTTTTTTTTTTTTTTTTTTTTGGGGGGGGGGGGGTGGCTGGCTGGGGAAGGGGCACTCTCAAGTCTCAAGAGAACTGGTTGCAGATGACTTGACATTATGACCTGTGTATTATGAAAAGTATCAGTCAAAACTGTGCCTCCTTTTTGTACAGAATGCTGAATCCCCCATCCTGTTATCAATGTTAAGTGTAAGCAATCAGGCCATTGAAGACTTTAAAGTACAGTAGAGGCTATTTGAACTTTTAAGTGTAAGAACTTTATCCCATTAAAAGTGCCTGAATTACTTGAATTTTGTGCTTTTAAGACCCTTCGAACCAATTGTGTTGTCAAGGGAAATGTTTGGCATCTCGAGATATTTTTTGTCCTTAATCACATTGAGCAAGTACCACTTCTTGCGATAATGAATTGATCAAATATTGCAGCAGGCTGAGAAGTCTTAGGCTTTGAACACACAGCAGGCAGAGACATGCATTCTGTATGTGTACAGTCAAATTTATTCTGTTCTCGAATTGAGGAATGTGTTTTTATTGCATTTTTGTCTGGAAAACCGTAAATTAAATTTGATTAATGAGCCTAAAGCGGTATTGGTTTTGTGGTTCTCCATGTTAAGTCATCATTCATTTTATATCACACTAATTGACACTTGACAAACAGGAAATGCCATTTTTGTAAATTAAAAACCAGACCAATTATTTGAGATTATTTGATGAATTGTTAGCCCATGGTGCATGCTCAAAGAGGGAAGAGATGCCTTTGTGAAAAATGGTAATTTAATCATGAACATTTTCTAACAGTCATTCCAATAAATTATTATAAGTGGTTCAAATTGGTACATAATGTCAAGTACATGTACATGTATAGTGCTTGCATGCTGAATTTATAGTCAGGTAGCATGTTAACATTATTTCTTATAGTTCATCTGCACTAGCATGTTGCATTTATTTGGAGTTGGTATCTAATGACGACCATACTACCCTCATACCTTACCTCTTTTAAGTTACAGGTAATATATTTCAAAATGATTTCACAAGTGATGTAGTATTGTATACATGTAGTGTCCGTAGCATAATTTCTTCTTCAATTTTTTTTTGGCAAGGTGCAGGAGGTACATGTACATGTTTATTATACCCAATCACAAAGTGAAAGACATAGACAAGATAAAACATTAATAAATAAAGGTTGCATCGAAAATGTACATGTACATGTATCAATGAACAATATCAGCAAATATACATGTACATGTACATGTACATCATCATTACTAAAATTCTACATGTTGGTTAGCACACTTAAGAATTTTCAAGACACTGTTTACGTTTACATGTACATTCAAACTGGAAAATAGATTTTCATGCCTTTACATACAAGCAGTACGTCACAGAATTACTGAACATTCTGAATATACATCTGCTTTATCCGTTTCGATTGAGAGTTTTTACAGGGAGGTTTGGAAGAGTTTAGTTGTGCATGTGATGGGTATATCTGTCTGATGAGTGACAGGTTGATATGTATGTAATCATGATATGGGAGTGGACACGTGATGACCATTTAATGGCTGCTTGCATGTGTGAGAGCCATTAGCAATTCACCCGTCTAATTGATTTGAATTGTATGCACATGTGCATGTGGTTTCCAATTATAGATACACACGTAAATGCTTCCACACTGTCATATATTCAACATGACATTTTAACAATCTGTTGGGCTTACTTACATGTACGTTCATTTTGGACAATGATACTTCTGTTAATTAATGCAGAAAAATATTAATCAGCTTTCAGGAATATGAAAAAGACTTCAGAAATTTGTCACCTTATCTACATGTAGCAAGAAGCAACTTTCTTAAGTCAGTGAGCAGATCAAAAACTTTGGATGGAATCCTCTCCACATTCCTTTCTGATATGTTCTCGTCATCTCTATAAATTTTTGATTTAACAAAGTGGTACCTTTATAAAAACCAAGTTTTAAAATGGTAATAAAATCACTAATTGTTTGATTCCTGACGCAAACGATAGAATTTTATCAATTGATGATGTATGACAAGGATACCAACTGGTATATCTATCTTCTCATTCAGAAGCATTTGAAGAAAAAAAAAATCTTTAGAAGTTCATTCCCATAACCAACCATATAAGAGGTGCAAGCAACAAATATCTCATCAAACTTTCATCTGTTATTTTTGTGTGTGCATAGTTTTAAGGCTAACCACACAACTTTCCATTTTGAAATCAAGCTTAGATATTCCCCGAAAAGTGATACAGACCCCAGCAAAAGTAGAGAGACTCGCATTGAAGTTTTTAAGCCGTTACCGACACCAAATATCACTCAACCCCCGCAACTCATAATTGAACAGAAACCTTTCTAAACTGCTTTCATCATCTAAACAAATACACCTCTACCCTTCCTTACTAATCTTCACTGCTGCTTGCTTGGAATTTTGGCGCTTGTTTGAGTCTGGTTTTTACTCAAATGTTTGATTAGTAGTGTGACGAAAACAATAGAACATGGAGCTGGAGAAGGAAAGATGTCTTGAATGTGTTTAGGAGCAAATAGAGCCAAAAGTTTGACCAATTCTAGCAAGATCACCAGAT